AACGCTTCGCCTATGAGAAAAAGGAGCAGCGCATGAACCGAACGCAACACACGTGAACCGAACCGAACCATGGATTTTGTGAACCGTTCCACCCTTAATATATACAGTGCGTCGATATAACAGCTGAAGTGTCTTGTTTAACAGGGTTAATGCACAGGGTATTATATCATCTTTTAGGTCAAGTAAAGACGTTCGTTTTTTGTTTTTATCAAATTGGGGGAAATCATGTCTTTAATGACGTCATCTTTGCTCTTTTTCCCAGGTAACTTTGGGGATCGTTACTTCGGGACTGACGCTCCATCAGATGTCTGTGAAAGCGATGAAGGGATGGATTTCTGAAGAGGGAACAAATGGCATAATGTTACAGGAGCGCTTCGCTGTGGAAGCAGCAACCAACGAAAACAGATTCCTGCTCTGCTCGACTCTAGCAGCAGAGACGCTCTAAACCTGTTCCTGTTGGATCCCACAGAACAGTTTTAATCCCAAAAGAAACTTGGTTTTATGTGCATAAGGTTACAGCGGCGTTTAAAGGGATCCGGGCAGGAGTTGCTGCCAGCTCTAAACCTTTTCCAAAATTCAAACTAAGGCAATCTAGGAATTTTTATCTTGTCTATAATTTCTCCTGTGATGCTTTTAAGTTTCTTTTATTTACTGTCAATTTACATCAAATTGAGACACATATTGTATATAAATTAATTTAATTTAAACCAGATCTCTGCTTAGCCTCGATTGGATTTAACGACACTTGATGCTAATCTATATTTTGCACTAAGTTGTTGCCTGAATATTAAGCAACATTTTACATCTGTGAAGATAATCGTCCACCATGTTTCCATCTGAATTCAGGACATGAGTGCGTTGTCAGCAGGGCGATATGATGTTGGTTAGGTTGAAGCTTTCCGGCTCGGTTCAGTCGATTCTCTGCAGACAAAGTTGTAAATGTTCTTACCTCAGGCAACTTTTACCAAAAGGGAAATTAATCACAGCTACTTGAAGAAGAATAACTGACGATGGAATAAAAAGGTCAAAAATATGTTTTTTTCTACTCCATAAATGTTATCGTTGTGACCGAAAAGAGCTCGATATTCCTTGCTTTGGTTTTATTTTTGTTAAACCTCTGATGAATTCCATTTTTCTCTGGGATTTGGTCGGGTTTAATCTGTTATAGGCTCAGGTCGTAACTGGCCCTTAAAGGGACCTGTCCTTGCTGCTGTTAAGCAAACTTTTATGTTTTGTTTTTATTTATGTTGTTTACAAGGGATTCAATGTTGCATATCATGCATCTTTTACTTGTATGAATCAAATGTTTTCAGTTTTATTACAGAAATGTATTCAATACATGTACGTTTAAATGTAATTTGACCTGCTGTCAAAGTTTTAAGCCTGACCTTTCCTAAGTTTATTGTGTTTAGTTACAGATATTTTTTTATCACGCTTTTACCAAGCATATGCAAACATTTTAAGTCAGAAAATGGTCATATACATTTACTTGAAAGAGCTTTCAGCTGTTACTTTAATAAACATCTCTTACCTCATGCCATAATGTCACAGAAAACACTGCTGCCAGTATTCACTTTAGGCATCAAGAAAATAAAGTTATATATTCTGGTCATTTTTTAGCTTAAACGGCTGTATTAAATGTCATAAATGGATACCGACTTTATTCATTATACAGAATAAATAAACAAATCAAACTGCAACTATTCAGTCTGAACGTTCTTTATGCGGCATCCAGTGACTGTCCACTAGAGGGCAGCAAAGGCCAAGCTTTATTGTTTACAGCGGAACTTACGCAGTTCTAATGCTACCTTCAGGTACTATTGGAAATCAGAATTGGCTTTGAATTTATCTTTTAGATAGGAGAATCGGTCAATTTAAATATAACCAAAATTATCCATCGTAAATAAGATGGAATTGATGCACATAAAGGTAACATACATAAAGTTTTTAATGTTTATTGATATAATTTTTACTCTAAACTGAAAATGCCACAAAAAATATTCACAGATTCACCCATAGGATCGAGAGCAATGTTGTTTTTTCTTTCTTAAACAAACACAAAAATCTGCGAAAGCATCTGTCTTATTTAAATTAAGATACAATTAAATTAAGATAATAAAAAGTTAGTAGGTTATTCTTGTAGCTTAAGAGTCCGAGCTGATATCAGGGACGTGAAGGCATCGGTAGCTCGTGGATTCAGCCGGGCGCACTCATAACAGGTATGCAAACACATTTAGTATTTACTGCTCTTTATCCTTAAATTGATTGACACACGTAGCAGAAAAACCAAGCTTTTGTTCGTGAAGACATGCGCTCAGTGCTTAAGTAAAGCATTTAAAAGAAAAAGTGTTAAATACAGACTTTAAAACTTCCGAATCTCCAAACATTATGTCACGCCAAACCCCATTCAGGAAGTTTGAGCTTTTACATGTAATTCGGAAATTTTGAAAATGTATTTTATTTAAAGACTAGATTTGTATTATTTTATCTTAATGCGACTATAATCTTTGACTCGGCGTTGCTGAAATGGACTAAAAAGTTAAAAATATGGTAATTTTGTGCTCCAATGAGTTGATCTGTATAAATTAATAGTAAAGGCTTAATATTACTCTGTTTAATTTTTTAAACATTTTTATTTTCTCATAATTAACAAGGCTGAGTATAAATTCAAGTGGTTGCCACATGGTATGGTCAGTAATCAGGCTCTAATGGGAGCATAACGGAGCTTATTAGCAGCTTCAGTTCATTTGGATCACGTTGTTTGCCTTAGTTTGGGCTGTTTCTTTGAAAAATCAATATTTTTCTGCCTTTTTTAAACTATTTTCTTTGTATCTAAGGAGGATGGCGGGCCTATGGAGATCTTATCAGGCCTTGATGACCAAATACCCATGGTCAGTCCAGATAATCACAGCTGGTAGGTAATATTTCCTTATTTCTAAGGTTGACCTGCTGCAGGAGTAAAAACCTTAAGAGTTAGTTTTATTTGTAAACTTTGACAATTTTCTTTTTGTTTGGAAATATTGAACTGTAGGAACTGTTTCCCCCCTAAACCTTTGCTCCAGTTTACAGTTTTGACCTTCAACCAAGTGCTTTTAAAGAGTAACATGAGTAAACATTGATAGAAAATGTATTGCATTGACAAAAAACATATAAATACAATGATTCAGTTGTTATAGATATTGATATATAAGAAATTGTAAAAGGTCTATTAATGTTCCCACTGCTTTTGTAATATAAACATAATTTTATTTGTTAAAAGCATATTATAATTAAAATGTCACAATCCTATGTGCTTTATAAATTCTGTTGTTTCACCATTTGTTTATTGATTTTAAATTTAGAACTGGTGTTAAAAGACACCGATCACTAAAGTGTTACTGGTTTGTTGACCTGCACAACAAGCTAACTGGAGGATCAATTCACTGACTTTGGTTTATAGATTAAATATATTCAACAAATGTGTTAAATTTATTTAATCAATCATACATTTATTGGTCCCTGCCTTTTCGCCCATAAACTGCTGTAGATAAGCACCAGCCATTAGTCGAATCCAATAGGTTAAACAGGAGACTATGGATGGATAGATAAATAAAATTAATAAATTAAAGTTGTTTTTTTAAGTTTAAACGCATTTAACATTATTTCTATAATTTTTAAACATTATTTTGAAAATGTAAGTGATAATAAATATGTGTTTAGCATCATTTGTATGAATCTTCAAGATTATGTTCATTTTTCAATAGAACAAAATTCTATACAGAAAATCTACGTTTTTATGAAAAAAAAAATTCCAAAGCTTTATTATTAAAAGTACTGCTTTTTCCACTTTTTTTTGATACATTTGTGAGATGATATGTACGTTTAAACTACATCCCAGGGTGGTTGTTTAGCCAGTTTTGAAGTAGTTCCTTTGCATCGCCACTAGATGGCGGCAGATACATAAAACGTTGCAGCCATCAGGAGCACTACAGCCTTTCTTGGAATAAATAGCAGTAGCAACCACAGACCCCAGGCCTCTGATCAGAGATCTAGACTGTTTTCCTTCACCATATATCTCCTATTTAAGGACACACACGTTCTCAAAGGGCTGCATCATTATTCTTTCATGTTTAAGGCCTGTAGTGGCAATCCACACAGTGGAGTATTTCGATGTACACGATGAAGCATCACCCTACATGAAAATGGTGGCCTCCTTGAAAGATGAAGACGTCTTCTTCTTCCTCTACCACTTTTTGAATAAATGTCTTCTTAAAATAGTCAGTAGGCTTAATAGAGCTTTGGTCTATCCTTACCCAGAAAAGGTCCATATTTAATATTCCCACCGCATAGCAGTACTCCATCTCCACCTTGGTGGGGTATGATATGAAGTGGAGCTCTGTGCTCATTAACCCCTTGAACCCTACGGACCCACCGGCGGGTCCAGCTGCTACATGACCTCGTAATTCTACCAAACCCCCAGTATTGATGTAAAAAACATATTTGGCACAGTTTGGTGACATTTATGGATAAATGTGCCAAAATGGCCTCTCCGCCTAAGAAATTTCTCACTAATACCATTCTAAAATAAATATGATTCATCTGATTGAGTCCAAATTTGGTATATTTTTACACAACATTTAGATTTGAAAGTCTGTACTACTTTTTTGTGCTATAAATAATATTTTGGTAGTGTTTTGCAATGTTTATTTCAAAGAAAATTTTGGCGAGGTTCAAAAAATGCAAAATATTTTGTATTTTGTCCCTAATATTTCAGGCAGGGTCAAAGCTACAATGGTGCTGACACCAGAAAACCATTCTATGACATCTTACCTTTACAGACGTACCAAAAGTTTCTTCTTAAATCTAACAGCTTTGAGGCTATAAGTTATTTACTTTTGTGTGTTTTTGTCAGGCAGAAATTTATTTACCGGTATACCCCCTTAGGGTGTAAGAGGTTAAGATCCAACCACTGGCCCGTGCATCTGGTCCAGCAGGAGTCACTCTTATATCATCAGTTCATAAAACCTTTAAAAAAAATCTGTTTTTATATTCTTTGTTCAATTCAGTTTATTTCTATAGCGCCAATTCACAACACATGTCATCTCAAGGCACTTTACAGTTCACCAGATCATCCAGTCAAATTGATTCAAAGTTTCCTATAAGGAAAACCAGTTGATTGCATCGACTCATTGACTCGAATGCAATCCCTCACACTAAGCATGCTTGTAGCGACAGTGGAGAGGAAAAACTGTTGCAAGTCTTGAGTTTCAGCTTTTGTCCTGTTTAGTGGTGGATTAGTTTCAGCCATGTCTTTAAGCATTCCTAGTAGGTTGCAGTTCTGGAATATGTCAGATCTGGAGGATAATGAGCCCCTGGTAGCTTGAAGTTAGATTTTTCTGCAGCAGTTCATTTGCATCG